GCTTTGTAAATTATTATCATATTTGACTCTCACTTAAGTAGTGGCAGTGAAATATTAACAAAACATTATATTACAACTGTAATTCAATGTGGACAATATACAGTAATTTGTTCTTTAGTTTATGGATTTAAAGTAGCTGGAGTAGAATTTGTTGGTGGATATTTTAAAATTTTGTACACATTTTTACTTATGTAATATTTTTCTCAATAAATATTGGGAGCTAATATATTTGTTTAACACTCCCAATTGCAGCTTTGGTAATGTGACAAAAAACACCATTACAGTGCAAACTGTCTTTTGAAAATGTGTGATGTTATGATATCCACATGGGATGAAGCTTATGGTGTTTCAGCCCAAAATTGCTTCTCTTGGACGCCACTATTGGTCTATCTGCAGTATACAGTGAACCTAATTTTTTAAGAAGCAACTATTAGAGATTAATAAAGGAGAAAATTCTAGCTCAGGGTTGAAATGAGGGGTCCTTTGCACACTCTGAGCTTGGTTGTTTTCTTCCAGATGTTTTATTACCCAAACAAGATGATATCATCAGTGCACTTATATTAGAAATTAGTTGTCTCTTGCAGTAAAAAAAATAGAATAATCCTTGTTTTTTTTTAAAAAAACCTTCTAAATTGGAATTAAGATTTACAATATGTTATCTGGAAAATAAATAGTATATTTTTGTTATTTTCAGATAGATTAAGTGGGTCATTGAGGATACCTGCAGCAAGTAAAAAGGAGTCTAATGTTGCTATATTTGGCAAATAGCCTTTTAAAGCTGGGGAGGACAAGCTTTTGAGATCTGCTCGCAGAGTACAAGAAGTATGGCCAGTTATGTCATTATAATGGCCAAATCATAATAGGCCCAGTAAAATGCAGGATTTGTTTTTCCCTAGTACGAAGTAGCCAATTAACACACAAGGAGGGAAACTGCAAGCTGTTTATTCTGTACAACACAAAGGGGTTGGGCATCACAAATTGAGACCCTCCAGTACACAGTTAACATAGCTTTTATACACTTTTGTAAAACCAAGGTATATAAAATATTGTAATCCTACAAACTAGCAAGGCTAGGCAACAAGCAACAATGCATTCATTCTCTAGAGGTCCTTCTGTCCCTACCTGACAAAGTTTCTAGTTTAGTATGCAAACTTTCTAGCTAATTTATCTGCCACAAGAAAAGGGGAGTTTAGTGCAAGTAATCTGTTTACAACAAGAAGGTCCAGTCTTGTTTCCATTGCTAGCCTCCTTCAAGATGGTTCAAGTATTTTGATAAAGCTATCATAAAGTCTTCAGGGAATTTTAGGGCCAGGATGTGAGGCCCAGAAATGAGAGGCTCTAAAGACAGAAAGTTTTTCAGAAAAATTGGGTTTCTCTGGCTAAAACAAGCTATTTGTTCCTAGAAATTACATCACTACAGTGGGTAGAACTACACTGTAAGCCCTTTTATAAGTTTGGAGTAAATACTCATTGTTCCTTCATATTGCTTAAAGTTTAGAAAAGTCAGCCTGACATGACAGGTGTTGAGGATTTTTAAGAGGTGAGGTTAGGTCTCTCCAAACTCCTTAGAAATGCAAAAAGGGCCAAGAATTTTTATACCCATGCATTCCAGGGGAGTTCTAAAGCTGTGTAATGCAGAACTATATAAAGGCTGCACATTGTTACATCCATAGAACTGGCATATGTGGAAGCAAAGTCTTGTGTGGTTATTGGGGCAAGTTTGAATATGTAACTCCTGAGGAGATAAATCATCTAGACCAGTGGTTCCCAAAGTGGGTGGTACCGCTCCCTGGGGGGGGAGGTGGGATGCCTTAGGGGGGCGCTAAGAGGCAAGGGGACTGGCAGGGGGGCACTAAGAGGCGGCAGGGGGGCATTCGAGGCACTGGCCCCGCAGGTTCACTCATCGATTGTAGCACCGCTCCAGAGCCGGCGCCTCAAATGCAGAAGCGGTGGCACGTTACGTGCTGCCACGGCCGCATTTGATTCGCCGCCCCCCTGCCACCTCTTTGCGCCCCTCTGCTGGCCCCCTTGGGGACGCTAAGAGACAGCAGAGGGGCATTCGAGGTGCCAGTTCTGCAGGTTCACCCATTGACTGTAGCACCGCTCCGGAGCCGGCGCCTCCAATGCGGAAGCGGTGGCACGTTATGTGTCACCGCGGCAACGTTCAATGCACCATCCCCCTGCCACCTTTTAGTGTCCCCAAGGGGGCCGGCAGAGGGGCGCTAAGAGGGGGCAGGGGGGTGTTCGAGGTGTCAGCTGGCTCTGCAGGCTCACCGATTGAGGCGCCGGCTCCAGAGCAGTGCTAGTCAATGGGTGAACCTGCAGAGCCGGCGCCTTGAACGCCCCCCTGCCACCTCTTAGCATCCCCAAGGGGGCCAGCAGAAGGGCGCTAAGAGGTGGCAGGGGGCAGCACATCGAACGCAGCCATCGCAGCATGTAACGTGCCACCGCTTCTGCATTGGAGGCGCTGGCTCCAGAGCAGTGCTAGTCAATGGGTGATACTGCAGGGCCGGCCCCCTGCCGCCTCTTAGCCCCCCTCTGCCGGCCCCCTTGGGGACGTTAAGAGGCAGCAGGGGGGCGTTCGAGGCACCGGCCCTGCAGATTCACCCATAGACTGTAGTAATGCTCCAGAACCAGTGCCTCGAATTCGGCAGCACGTTGGGAAAAGCTGCTGCCACCGCTTTCCCAAAGTGCCACCGCTGTCGCATTCTGTCTGTCTATCCGTCCGTCCGTCCGTCCGTCCGTCCATCCATCCAAAAGGTCTGTTTGCCTGCCTGCCTTCCTGCCTACCTACCTGCCTGCCTGCCTGTCTCTCTCTCTCTATCCGTCCATCCATCCATCCATGTTCGAAGCGCCGGCCCCGCAGGCACATCGGGAAAGTAGAGCAAAGCCAGTCTGAGAGGGAGGGAGGGAAGGAGGGAGGGAGAGAGAGAGAGAAAGAAAGAGAGAGACCTGATGCATCAGATTGAATGAGGCCTAGTTTAGACTGAGGTCCTTTTCCACATTGAAACATCTTTGCCAGCACATTGAAACCTCTTTGACTTCTATTAAAGGTTTTGTGAACGAAACATGGTCAACACTATCAGGAAAGTCTCACATTTTGTTGAGGCTTTAAACAGGATCCATTGGACCAGATTTCCACCCTAAAAATTACTTTTCCCCAATGTATTACAGTGCCAATTCTGAAGAAGGCAAAACCAAAATGTACTGGTAAATTACAAGAACACACACACTCCCTTCTAATCCTGCTGGAGCAGGTGATTGGACTAGAATAGATATCTCATTATCTTTCTCCTCCCTCCCTCCCTCCTTCTTTATCTTTTTCTTTCTGTCCCTTCCTTCCATCCCCCCTCTTTCTTTGTCCCTTTTTCTTTCTTTCCCTTTTCTCTTTCTTTTCTCTCTCTCTTTCTTTCTTTTCTCTCTCTCTTTCCCTCTCTCAGGCTCATCCCTTTGGATCTGGGGTCGCCAAACTTTTGGACCTCAAGGACCACCAAGCTCATAATTTTAAATCCCAGAGACCACTAATATGAATTTTGACTGATGGTGGCTTTCTGGCGTTGGTGGGAGAGAGAGAGATCTGATCCAACCTCTCTCTCTCCCTCTCTCACACACACACACACAGGCAGGGGCAGGATTTAGACCCCTGATCTAAAGCTGTCAAAACTCCAAAAACTGGCCATGTAGCTCTGGGGAGGCCAGTCATAAATTAGAACACTTGCTAAACAACCGGTCATTAAGTGAGGACCACTTGTATTTGGTTTGCCAGTCACCTGGCCACGCCCACTCAGTCACATGACCAGCAAGCCACACCCACCCAGTCATGTAACCAGCAAACCACACCCTCAAATTAGGCCACACCCACAGAAATTTGAATCCCACCCCTGGGTGGGGGGCACCGAGGATGCGTTTGTAGCACCAAGGGGGCGGTGGACCGAAAAAGTTTGGGAACCACTGATCTAGACTGCTAATCTAGCCAGTTATTTATTGTATCCATTCCACTCCTGGCTGATGGCCACCCAGAAGGTGATAAGAAGCTGGACCTGAAATCATAACTGCTTCATTGAGAAAGGAGCCATGGTATGCCCTCTCAAGAACTATGATAGGAGTCAGGTGGCCCTATAAATTTTAACATAAAATAGATGAGTCTTTTGTGCCATCTCAGACAACTGGATTATGTAGCGGGTTACTGTCAATTCCTATTGGGATGGCAGATTTACCTAACCTACAATTCAGGGTTGTGCTGCTGAGAGCCACAGAGGATGGGCTTTGTAATGCTTGAATCATGGTTTTTGTAATACTGTTGCACTGGCTAATTAACATGGGTTTTCTACCAAAGTCTTTGGGACAACCATGACCTGGATGACCGAGAATCTCTACAGCCATGCATTTTCTTGTATTTTAAATTTGCTTTTCAATTGTATTGCTGATAATTTCCCATAACGCCTTAACCTTCAAGAAAAAAGCCTCCCTTTCAGAAACCAGGACTAGTAGGAGAGCATTTTCTCTTGTATTTTAAAGCCCATCCTCCGTGGCTCTCACTCACTGCCGAGAGAGAAGGAAGCCCGTCTTGTCATCCCTCCGTCTCTCCCCTCCAAACACCGAGGGCGCAGGCATGTGCGTGTTTTGTTTGTTTTTGGTTTTTTTCCCCCCCTTCTCCGGCGTGAATCCGAGAAGTTGGCCCGGCAAGCGCGCGCTCTTGCTCCAGCCTATGAGAAGCGCAGCCACCGGAAAGCGCCAAGTTCTCCTATTTCAACCATTTCCCACTCCCTAGAAACGCCCCGTGAAAGCCAAAGCCGGAGCTACGTAACGAGGCAGAGTTCGAAGTTGGCTCGGAGGAGCAACCAATCCGAAGAGCGCTCCGGCTCTCGCTGTTTTTCTATTCCTCGAGGTCGGCACGTGGACTGGAGCACCCTTCTCTGAGGTGGACCAATTGCGGCGCCGCCTCAGGAAGACCACGCCCCCTCTGCCTCTCCCCCCCCCCCCCCCCATTTCGCCCACGGGGTTGTGCAATGGAGACGCGAAAGCCCGGAAACTCTTACTCCGGTCAGCCTCGGAGCGGGCGGCTGTATGTGGAAACATGACCCAGAACTGCAGCGGAAGCGGCAGCCGCACGCAACTGAGCGTTTCTGCGTGTTCTCCCAGCCAGCATCGCCCGTCGGTGGACCGCGGGGCTGCGGATGCCAGGTACCTGGGAGTGACCGCTCCCCTTAACTATCCCGCCAGGGACTTGGGAAGCGGAAGGGTCAGCCGCGTTTCCAAGACTTGATGGGAGGGGTGTTGATGCCGCGCTCGGGGAAGGGAACGCGTTGTTCGGCGGGTGGATGTTCAGTGCAGCCGGATAAAAGTGGAGCAAATTCCTCTTAAGCTGGGTCCTGGAGCGACTCCGTAGAAAACGTCTGAAGAAATAACGTCGTGTAGGAATTGCCTGTCTTAATATCTTTTCATGTGATCTGACGGAATAAGACGTTCGAATCCTTAAAGAATTTGGGGTTGGGGAGAAGAGGGATAAAGTCTTTCTGGGCTCTTCCATTTGGGATAATGCTTGCAAGGAATGGCTCTTTGCTTTTGCAGTTGGCCTTACCTGAGGAGAAACCACTTCTGGGGGAACAAATGGATACATTGAATGTTGAATACCAGCAATGGGTGGGAACTGAAAGTAGGCACTGCTAGTATGTGGCCCCAGAAGTTTGCACATACTACAGTCGCCATATGAAAGAAGAGCAAGCAATGTGACCATAAAGTGGGTAAAGTGCGATATTTACTTCTGGGTGGTGTTCAGAATTCTTTTGTACTATAAATAGTTCAGAAGAAGTTCCACTTCTCACTATGTAGTACAGAAAGAAAATGGACTCTGGAGAAGAAGATGCAGCTCTCCTCCTGCAAGAATATTGTTTTTCCTCTCTTTGGCTTGCCTTGAGATTATATGAAATCTTTTCTAGATTTCAGAGGAGAAAAGGAATCCTTTTCACATTATGTAACTAATCTGAAAATTGCCCAATATCTGATGATATTCTGAAAGGCAAGCTTAATATTTTCTAGTGCTTTATAATTGACTGAGATATGAACAGGATGTCCTGGGAAAGCTAGATGCTGAAATAAGGGTAGAAGGAAAATGTGTGCAAATAGTTGGCATGATCAATGAGGAGAGTTTCCCAGGTTAGTTTCAGAGGTTTTTTTTAACAGATTCAGAGCAAATCTTACCATAATAATTCTACATTCTGTTATGATAAAAAGTATACTAATGGGAGGTAAAACCTCTGGACATAGCCATCCAACTTTTGGTATAACTTTGATGGTAGAATTTTGGCACTGTTGACATGGAATGACTTGCAAGTACTTAATTAGCATTACTTAATATTTGAAGGAAATATAATAAGGAGAGGACTGAAAGTCATTTTAATCTCAGAGAATTATTATATAGATGAGCTAAGTCTTAATAGGGTTGGTCAGGATCCCTTAGATGTCAAGCAGCTAAGAAACCACTAGTCTGGGATATATCCTCAATTAAACTATTAATGGTAATTAGAATATCTTCTTGTAATAAAAATTAGCGTAGCATTTAAGCCATTTGATGAGATAGGTTGTAATTAATACAGTTTATGTCAGTTTAATTTTCAGTATAGAATGGGAAATATGCATGGTGTAGGTGACACACATTCAATCCTAAAGTGTCCAGAAGCAAAGTAGAAACTTACAACAGCTATTGCTATGTAGAGTTTCAAATTTAGTTAGAATCTGTAATGTATTATAGTACTTGTCATTCCAGCCTTTCTACCTGTTTCCAGAAAGTGTTATGTTTGGTTTTAACTTAGTAAGTTGTGTGAATTCAGTAAGGTGGTAGGTTGGATGTATTATAGTTGTATGTTCCAGTTACTTCCATGTTATTTGGGATTATTGAGTGAAAAGACTATTGGAATTGAGATCACGTGGGGTGGTGGGGGGGGAAGGCACAGCATAACTTGAAGACAGAAGGGGAAGGAAAAAGGCTGTGACTGCACTTTTGAAAGAAGATATCTTGAGACAAGAAACTTTGACGGACTAAAGAATAAAAAGACTGTGGAAACTATTTAAAGTTAAACAATACTGGTAAAATATACCTTTGATAGATATATAATTGTTACAATATTGAATATTGAACAACAATTGAATGACCAAATGATTGAAGGAAAAGAGGTTGTATAATGTATGAAATAGTACAGCATTGTTCTCCTCTACCCTTCTTCCAATTAATGTTAAATATCTTTTTTTTTTGCTTGCTTTCTTTGTATCTACTTAAAAGTACTATATATTTAAACTATAAAAAGAGACTAGATGGCTATATATATACTGATTTAAAGAATATCTAAGTATTGTATAAGTTTTATATATAATGAACTGTGTATCCTGATATCTGTATTAATTAACTAAATGTATAGGACTATTGACTTTTGATTAGTAATTATTTGCAATTAATATTTAAATCTTTAAATATACAAAGAATAGAATTTAGGTCTGATCCAGAGTGCATAAAATAGAAGAATAATAACTAGCAACATATATACCAAAATAAATATTACTGAGGAAAGACATTATTTTTTGATCTAATAGAAAAGGAGTGAAGAAATAATCCTAACAGTGACATTTAATGGTGGATTGGAGAACCCTTCTACAGGTAGTAAAAATGGCAACGACAACTACAACAGTAAAAACAGGAAAGAAAGGAACAGCAACGATATCCTCTCCCTTGGGACAGAGGGCCATAGATGTGATGCTATTAGTAGAAAAGCCAAGCTCTGCTCTAATACCACAGATGGTACAGACAACATTATGATGCAAGAGATGATGGTGAAGACCCACGAATTGATAGCGAGGAGCCATGCAGATATCAAAACAGAAATGAAAACAAAATGAATTTAACAAAATGAATTAAAAACATTTGCTAGACCAATACTTGAATACAGCTCATCAGCCTGGAGCCCGCATTATAAATCTGATATTAATACAGTTGAGAAAGTCCAGAAATATTTCACAAGAAGAGTTCTCCACTCCTCTACTTGTTGCAAAATACCATATGCCACCAGACTTGAAATTCTAGACCTAGACAACCTAGAACTATGCCGCCTTCGGTCCGATCTAAGTATAGTACATAAAATTATATATTGTAATGTCCTACCTGTCAATGAATGCTTCAACCATAACAATACAAGAGCACACAATAGATACAAACTCAAGGTTAATGGCACCAAACTTGATTGCAGGAAATACAACTTCAGGAACAGAGTGGTCAATGTCTGGAATACTCTACCTGACTCTGTGGTTTCTTCCCCAAACCCCAAAAACTTTAACCTTAGACTGTCTACTATTGACTTCAACCCTTTCCTCAGAGGTCTGTAGGGGGCATGCATAAGCACACCAACATGCCTACCGTCCCTGTCCTGTTGTTTCTTTTTTTTCTTATATGTATCCATTTCATGTATTCATAACATGTTTATACTTATACCTGTTATCTTATAATCGCTTGACAAAATAAATAAAGAATTTGGACAACAAAATTGGAATGATGCAAGAGGTAATGGCAAAGAATGAACAAAAACTAATTACAATAGAGGCGAGAATGGATGTGGGAAAAAATTAGATGAATCAAAACAGAACTGGAAAGTGCTGTATTGTGAAATCCGGGATTCGGTGGTTCACATGGAATTGGAGAAAGTAGCATTTTTCCTCAGATTTCAAAACGTCATTGAGGATAGAAAGGAAGACTTAACAATCAATAATGATGGATTTGATAACAGCAGCTCTTCAGAAAACCAAACAGGAGGTTTGCAATGATATTGACGAGGTTTATAGGGTTTATAGAGACCACTAATATGAATTTTGACTGATGGTGGCTGCTGACGTTGGTGGGAAAGTCGGTCCCATATTCCAGAGCTGTAGTAGTCACAGAACTGGCCCTTTGGTCATCCCGGAGCAGCTGTTCCTCCACCCAGTTTGCACCCGCCTGCCATGGACTGGAGGAGCTGTTCAGGGATCACCAAAGGGCCAGTCTTGTGACTACTGCAGCTCTGGAATATGGGACCAACTTTCCCACCAACATCAGCAAGCCACCCCGGGGCGGATTTCCCTCCCCTGTCAGTTCTAGCTCGCATGGCTCTACTCAAGGTAAGGCTTGTGCTTGGCCAAAAGGTGGGGGCCAGCGGATAGGCGAGCTACGTGTTCCCATGCAGCCTGGATTAATTGCAGGGGTGTGATTCAAACAACCGGTTCTGTGGGCGTGACTTAGGTGGTGGGTGTGGCTTGGTGGTCATGTGACTGGGTGGACATGGTTTGGTGGTCATGTTATTGACTGGGCGTGACCAACTCAATATCACTCACATCGAGGCATGCATCTCATGGCCTCCTGGCCTCTCATGACTGGGGATGCTGCAACAGTCGTAAGTGTGAAAAATGTTCATAAGTCATGTTTTTCAGTGCCATTGTAACTTGGAATGGTCACTCCACACAAGCAAAGTACCAGCAAAGGAAGGGAAAAAAAACTCCAGAGAAGTTCCTGAGACAGGAAGTCTAGTCCTGCCAAGAATGTAATAAGGGTTAACGGAGAGGTAGTTTCTGTAAGCAACACCAGAATGTTTCCTTTCTGCCTTCCTTACAGGATTAGGCCAGTAATTTTTTCTACCAACCGGTTCTCCGAACTGCTTAGAATGTTAACAACCAGTTCTAGCGAATAGGTGCAAACTGGTAGAATCCCACCCCTGATTAATTGCTTTGGGGGGGGGGGGACATTTCTTTGCAGACCCCCAACATTTTCTTGCGGACCACCAGTTATTGACCACTGTTTTAAAATGTCCTTTCGGAACATTGCTAAGTTTTTATTATGTTTCTTTTGTTTTATTATAGAAGCAAATGTATTACTGACTTTTTCAAACCAACTCTCAAAAAAGGTAAGCTATGTTTCTTTTAATTTAGATACTAGTGGCTTGAATAGCCTTTACATTTGATTTATATATAAATAAATGTATGTTAAAATGTTTTATAAAGTTGTCCTCCAATGAAAAATCATATACATTAACAAAATCGGACTTTCAAAATGTGATTTAATGCACAGTATGAAATTAAAATATGATATATAGTGCCATGCTTCTTGCTAGGCAATGGAAGGACTAAAAGAGAACCTCAGAACTTCAGGAATAATGTTCTGTGCTTGTTGATAAGTGTTTGCTGATTCATAGAGATTTTAGGAGCAGTCTTCGGCTGCATATCTCTGATAAAATGGACTGGAAAGAAAGCCAGCTTAAATATTTTTCCAGATTTAACCTTCACATTGGATGCTGTGATGTATTTGGGTGCTGTATTTGGTTTGGACTACTGTAATTGCAGTCCCTGTTTGGTAGATTCTTCTGCTTCTTCTCTCTACTCAGGAACTACAAGTTCCATTCCCTTTTGTGATCATGTTTTCTGAGGATTGGTGAAAACAAACGACAGTTTTATTATTCTTTCTTAATGATCTGCTGACAATTGGGATGGAATTATGCTGTTATATAGGCAATTAAATTTCCAAATCTCAGTAGCTTGAAGAAACTAAAAAAAACCTTGCTAATAATAATACATTGGAATAGCTGTGCCAAGATTGGAATATTTACTAAATTACATTTCTTCTTTGATCCACATTTCTTAATATTATCTATAACTGCCCTTGTCTTTAGTCACTGACCATAAGCTGATTGAATGTTGCCATCCAAAATAACAAGAGAAAATACATTGTCTGAAAATAGGTCTACACAGATGGCAGTGTCCCTTATGTTTTTCCTATTCAGTTGAAATGCTGGGTTCTCTTACCTGCAAAGTATTTATTAGTATTACTGAGCAGTGAGTATTCTTCTAGCTGATACATTTCTTGCTGTGAAATCTAATTCAATTGTATGACTTAGACCAGGACTGTCAAACTCCAATGAAAAGTCATATACATTAAAAAAATCATGCGTCACGTACTGGCCATGCCCATGCCCAGTTTAGCGAAGGAAAAAAAAGTCATGATATGTCACATGATGATGTGACAGCATGAATTTGACACCCCTGACTTACACCATAGACAAGCAACATTTTTTGACTCCCAAGAACCCATTACTTGCATGTTTTTGATTCTCTTGGAAAGGTTTAATCTTACCTAAAGAGATTCCAAACAATGTTTTGGAAAGGATATTCCTCTAAAAAATCTAGTAGGTAGTGCAGCATTAACCTTTTGTTCAAATAATCTCACCCAAAGACATATCTATTTCAATAAATATTAAAAAATTATTTACCGTATTTTTCGGACTATAAGACGCTCCGAAGTAAAAGACGCACCTAGCTTTTGGGGAGGAAAACAAGAAAAAAAAAAATCTACCTTTGCCTCTCAGCAATTTGCCTCCTTGCAGCAAACAGCCTGGTCGGCTTCAACACAGCCTGATTAGCACAAGCAGCTGATTGGCCTCCCGACGATCAGCTGTTTCAGGTTGCAGGGATCGTTTTAGGTCTCCACACACCCCATTTTCGGCCCGTTCCAGGCAGCAGGGATTGGAACGGGCCAAAAATGGGATGCACGGAGGCCGAAAATGGGGTGTGTGAAGGCGGTAATAGGCGATGGTGATCCCTACAGCCTGAAACAACTGGTTGTTGGGAGGCCGCTCCAGTCAACAATCAGCTGCTTGTGCTAATTGGGCTGTGCTGAAGCTGACCTTGCTGTTTGTGGCTAGGAGGCAAATTGCTGGGAAGCAGAGGCCAAAGGGTGGGGGCTGATGGGTGGCCGGGCCTTTGGTAACGTTCTCTCTGTAAGACACGGAGACATTTCCACCCCTTTTTTGGGGGGGGGGGGGAGTGTATCTTATATATCGAAAAACTCGGTAATTATCAATAGTCAGGTACTTAGGCTGGCCATTGGAATGTGACAATTACGACATGCTCCATGAGATTCTAGAAATGTGTATGATTAATTTGTTATTCATTTCTTTTACATGTATTAATGAAGATAGAACTGTGTTGTGCTCTCCAGAAAAAGGAAATGGACGAGCTGGACATACAGTTTCATGTGTAGGCCATGTTAAAAAAAATGCATCTTCTTCAAAGCAACATAGAAGGAAGAAATTGCCTTGCTCACCATCAGGCAGAAGCCCAATAATTGATGCTTTATTCCGAAAGGCTAAGTCAGAGAAAAACAACAGTTCAGAAAATAGTGTTAATCATCCAAAACCTGTGGTTCGGAGACTGTTCATATCTAAGGCCTTACCTGATGGTTCTTTCATATTAAAAGATCCTATTTATTCAAAAAATTCAGAAAGAAATGAGAAATATCCTGTTCAGACAAAGACACATTTAATGGATAATAGTAGTAGACAACATAAAGCAGAATATGAAGACCTAGACTCAACTGGTTCAAGCTTGAATAAATGGCCTTTCACTTCAGGAAATAACAGTCTGAAGAAGCAGAGTCATGCAACTCAGTGTCAAAAAACAGTCTATTCCAGGTTGCCACAAGTCAGTTCTTCATCTCCGAAATCATTAGGAACCGTTCGCAAAAAGAGACAAGAGAAGGTAAAAAAAAAAAAAACCTGCACCGTTTCTGAAAATAAATCTTTAGAAATTATTTTTTCTATTCAAGTATATTTAGAGAATAACTGCATAGCATATTAATGCAGGTAGTCTTTGACTTACAGTGATAGCATTTAGGCTTAGATAGTGCTTCACAGCACTCTGGGTAGTTTACAGTGTAGAAGTAGCATTTGCATATTGCCCCCGACAATCTGGGTCATCATTTTACCAACCTTGGAAGGATAAAAGGCTGAGTAAACCCTGTCAGGATTGAACTCCAGGCTATGGGCAGAATTTTGCCCGCATATCGCACTTTAACCACTGCAACTACCAGGGCTGAAACTGGTCACTTAGTTCAGAGTTACAGCAGACACTTTCCTTAAAATTACTTACTATCTGGTTCCAAAATTATGGCCACTGTAGTGCCTCTGCAGTCATTCACCCTTATGATTGACTGTAGGAATGCTGCAGCATCCCTTCCTGCTTATTTCCTTCCTTTCCCCCGCCACTGGGTCCCTGCGGGCCTTGGGCCTTCTTCCCACCAGGTTGGGCCCCCACACTTCCTTACCTTTTGAAGATCTCAGGAACTCAGATTAGGGAAAAAGGACAATTTGCTCTGTTCCTAGGCCACATGGAAGTAGCCACCATGTTTTGGGCAGCCACATTAAATTGTGGGCACTCCAAAAGTAGCAGCTAATTCCAGGATTGCACCCCACAGATCAGGGATGGAACAGCTTGCTCTACTTCCTTAACTCAAACTCTTGACCACTTTCCAGAGCTCACGCTAAGGAAGTAGAGCATGCTTCTTTGTTCCTGGCCACATGGCACAGTCCAGAAATGGCTGCCATTTTCTCTTTGACTTTAAAATAATTATAATCCTAATTGGATTAAGAAAGTGAGGGTTTAACCCAGTGTCTTAATGCATGCTCTGCTGCAGCTGGAAGCTCATTGCTTCTTCTACAGCTCCTGGTTCTCAAAAGTCAAAAATCCCCCAGAAGAACTCTGCAATCTCCTTGTGAGGAGCAACCTTCTAGAGCCCAAGAGGGTGGTCTTTTGGCTTTTCCTTGTCTGGCTTAATGCCTGAGTACTGGTCTTTGGCACAATGTTGTCTCCACTCCTTTGTCTTAGCCTGCCATTTCCTCACCCAGAAGCCAAAAAAGCTCTAAATGTTTTATTGGGTTTGTAATTGTACTAACTAAATCATAATGTAGTTAGGTTTTACATTACTGTGTTGTGTGATATTAACAGTTGTGACCCAAACTATCTTTAGTACAAATTCTGAACAATGTAATGATTTTCTCAGGAGAGAGTTGCTTAACCTTGGTTGGTTTGCTATAAACTGAAGCTTCTTTCTGCCTTTGAATTTGTGTAAGTGTTTATCGGTTGTAAATGTATTACTTCTTCTAAGATGCTGTGATTCTGCAGGTGATATTTTAACTGCTTCCAATAAGCAGTAATGGTACTGTTTAATCCTGAAATGTCTGCTATTCTGAAAAGTATCTATATTATGTAAAAGCTTACTTGTATATTCTAAAACCTTTTTTCTGTATATTTTTATTTTAAGGGCACCAAAGATTTTTTAAGGAAAAATTCAAGCTCAACTTCACTGGAATCTTCTTCAGGTGCAAACAGAAAAATAAATGATGTAACATAAAATTTAAATTTATTCTAGCTCATTATACTTTAGCTATTATTCTAATAAATTATACGGCCACCCCTTACAACAGTGACTCAGGGCAGCATATAAGAATTAAAATAACCAGAGCATCAATATGTAATCCACAAAACCTGGAGTTAAAGGAGGGGGGAACCCTAACTCAAAAAAAATCCACATGAGAAGCAGATCTCACCTAACCACCAATTTCTAGGAGTAACAGCCAGGTCTTCAAAGCCTTGAGAAAGTTTAACACTGTCAGAGCAATCCAGTTTTTGGAGGGATGTTTTCCATGGGGCAGGGGCTGCCACAAAGAAGACAACTCCTGATTGCAATAGCATGGCATTGTTTGATGGGAAGGACCTGAATATGCTATCTCTGCTTAGATCTGCTGGGCCAAGCAGTGGTCCCACAACTAGGGCTTTATAGGCGATAACAGTCACCTTGAATTATATTCAGATGGCTACCGAAAGCTAGTGCAGTTGATTAAACAGCAGTGGTATATAAATGTAGCAAGAAATGTCAAAACTCACCTGAGCTGCAGGTTTGTGTACAAGCTGCAGCTTCTGAATGCTCTTCAATGGCAGCCCCATTTAAGATGTTTCATAAATCCAGATGGAATGTAACTAAGACAGGAGTCACCATGAGTAGGGCTTTTTTGGTTTGGGTATGGATGCAATTATTGCACAAGATGAACCCACCCACAGTTGCCACCTGCTTTTTGGAGAACCTTTAAATTGCCTGTCAAATCTGCAACTGCTGCCCCTCAAAGTCACATAAAATATATGCCAGGCACAAATAACGACAGCAAGTCACTGGGACCAGTGGGGGAAGGGGTTTTATATTCCACAGCTATCCAGTCTTGCTGGGGTTAAGCCAAAGTCTCTTGTCCCCCCATTCAGGACCCCCACTGTGCTATGGCACTTGGAAAGGTTCTTGGCAGCATTGCTTGGTTGGCCCATGGTGGAAATGTAAACCTGGGTATTTTATCAACGTAGTAACCTCACCCAGAAACTTCATGTATATGTTAAGTAAGAGCAGGGAGAGGATGAAGCCCTGAGGAGCCCCACAAAGCAGGGACCTCTAAGACTGACTGGAAGTAGCCCCAAGCCACCAAGAAAGATTCCATGACTGATGGAAGGTCACTGAGATCTATATTCCATTTGCAAAACAATTCTATACATAATTATTTGGAAGTAAATATCATAGGATTAATTATTTAAAAAGAAAGATACTCTGTAGCAAGAGCTTCAATGTCAATGCCTTTTAGCTCCAAAATTCAGAGTTGTTTACATAACTTTTAAGCTATTATCTTGTGTACTACCCCATGAACTCTAGCTGATTGAACTTGCTAAAAGTAATAATTTTAAAAACTACCTATTTTTCTGACTAAAAATATTTAAAATTATATTTTTTGTGAAGATGTCATTTTAAATCCTAACTCCAAATTTATTTATGCTACTGTATGTATGCTTAAAAAATTATGCTTAGAAACCCAAGTATATTTACTTATCACATTTTTGAACTGCCCATCTCACTCCTTTGGGATGACTCCAGGTGTGGCCTACAGTATAAAAATATAGATTAAAACTTATATTCATCAGTTCATCAGTTTCTTATATTTTTTGATGTTTTTATTCTTTTCTTACTCATTAAAAGAGCAAGAATTTACATACTTACAGAAGAGAATATATGCAGCTCAGAGTTGAACTATGCTTTGGTGCTGTTTGAGCTTGTTGTTTACTCAGTTGGGTAATCTCTTCAAGGATTAGCATGTAAACAACCAAGCTTAGATAACACCAAGGATGCCACATCATACAAACTTCTGACCTTGAATGATATTGTTTTGTAACTCTTTTATCTCTCACATTTTTTCCTTAATCATGAGCTGTGAACTTTATTCATAGCTTAACATTTTTTTGACATGCCTTTCATAATTTATTAATTTCATAACAATAGTATTGAACTATGTTAGGGAATTACAGTACCCAGTTCCTACAACATTTAATTTCCTGAGGTTTATTGCTTCAAAATGTATACTGCTTAACAGTATGCATTGTGTGTGTGTATATGTGCAGGAGAGAATAATCAGTTTCATTATTATTTTGACCATTTGAATAGTTAATGACAAGAATATACAGTATAATCATCATTTTATTTTCATTTTACAGATGAGTCTTCTTCAGCACAAACTTCAAAAAGTGTGTTTTGTTCAGGATTAAGCTCTGATAAAACTATTGTCACAAAAAGCCAGCCCAGTCCTACAGCATATTCCAGTGCTACAACTTCATTCGGTACAGCTAACCATAAACATCCTAGAAAACGGAAAAGGGTTTCATCAAAAACAAATGTGAAAAATGTACAGTATGTCCAGAAGCTAAATAAACACAAATATGGTAGTTCACAAATTCCCCATAATACTAATTACTCAAAACACAGAATATCTGCTCACAATTCCCAGCCAGCAGATACAGATCTGTCTAGCAGTAACTTGCCTATTTCAGTAGAAAAATATGAAGCTGAAGAAAATGAAAATAAATCATATAGATGCATTATAAGTAAAAACAACCAAATCCAAATTTCAGATACTAGCAAGAGGAAATTACAGACATCTACTCCTCTTATTTATTTAGAAACAAGAAGCTATAATGCTTCTACAGTTCCTTCAGAAAAAATTGCTGAGCCACTTAAATGTTCTTTGGGAGAGTCTAAGACAACAAGTAAGACAACACTTGAAGATTATACTTGTGACATTATTCCTAATTCTTCATGTAACTTGAATAAATCTAACCATGAAACATATGAGTTAATTCAAAAATTAAAGAGCATTTCTGACAGTGATGCTGAAGCGTCTGATTGCAGCGTGAACAGTAGTGAAGAAGAGACACTCATCCCTCTTGAAAAAATACTGTTCCAAAGTGTCAGACCACCTGCAAAAAAGTCAGAAGAAGCTATGCATGAGGATGAAATAGAAAGCACAATTTCTGCAACACATAACACTTCTGTAAGTAATTGTCTTTGGTTAGAAAGTCTTTATTGCGATGATCATAGGCACAAGTATCCTCATGAAAACCAACTCTTTACTGGTACAGCTCCCAGCTTTTCTTTACTTTTTAAAATTTTAAAACATTGGTATAATTTTACATGAAAAAAAATTCCAGAAAACCCTCATTATAATATGAAGATAGCATCTGTCTTTTTAACTGAATCAACTGTGTATATGTTAGGAAGCCATTGTAAAGGGGAAGATATTTTCAAACTAGAGTAGTTTTAAATATCAGAACGTACAAAGTAATATTAGCCAGAAAATCGTTTCTTGGTTGTGCTGGTGGTGGAAACTTTTGAAACTTTATACTTGTATCTCATAGAAAAAGAACCATATTGACTTATTCTTGTGATTAGCTCAGTCACTGTTTTTCAGTTAATAGGTTGGATACTGTTAGAGGACTTGTGACAAACAATTTTTTAAAGAGATCATGTTTTTTTCCCCTCTCATATTCCTCATATTACATTTGAGATACAGGTATTTCTTGAGTTACAAACATTCATTTAGTGACTGAAATTACAGCGGCATTGAAAAAGTGACTTATGACCATTTTTCACGTTTATGATTATAAGCAGCATCCTTGTGGATGCTGTATTTAGGACAGCATGTATTTAGGACAGCTGCAATTGTCATTGCATAGGGTCATTTAATCATTTTTGTGATCTGACAAAATTAGTGGGGAACCAAATTTGCATAACAACTGTCAATAACAGCTACAGTAATTCATTTAACAACTGACAAGAAAGGTCGTATAGTGGGACAAAACTCACTTAACAAAGGTCTCAATAGAAAATTTGGACTCAATTGTGGTCATAAGTTGAGGACTACTTATAATTGCTTTTCAGATGTGTCTTTCTAACTAAGTGTTTTCTTGAATAAACATCTAAGAAATGTAGATGTTAAGTCTAATAGCCATCAGTGTTCTGAAAAATATTTTATGTTTTTCATGGACTTTTGCTTCAGCTTTCTAAAGCTTTTACTGAGCGTGGGGCCTCATACATGAATCATTTGGAGCATCTCCTGAAAGAGAAGGAAGAGTTAAGGAGGTATGCCTGCTTAGCTTTCTGGTCCATCCTCATTTATACAATTGCACATTATTGTTTATAACATAATTATAACTTGGATGTTGCTTGCATTTCACCTGCCTCTTGGCAAATGAGTTAAGTTTGTTTTTACATATCCAATGAAAAAGTACTTAATTGTTAGATTAAAAAAGTTTTTTAGATGAAGGTGTGACTTGACTTTATGTAGGTATGGAAGAGCCTAGAAGGAGAGAAGAAAAACGGGCAAATATAAAAAAAGAATGTTGAAGGTTACTTTCAAGCAGATAGAGCAAGAGATAACCTTCCTCTTTGTGGCCTTGGGACATGATCACAAAAAGGCAGTTAACAAATATTTCCAACTTATTTATTGGAACAGATAATGACTTTAAAAAAATGAAAGAATAGTAATAAAGATTTATCACTTGTGGATGGAGGGTAGTGAAATTAGTAATAAACTAAAGCAAAGGCTACCAGAATCTTAGTAGCAATAATAAATTAAGTTTATGGGATCCTGGGCACTCTCTGGTTGTTTGCAGATGTTTCCTTACACAACTTGGTAACATCACCAATGCTAGTGAGGATGGGGTTGCACCCCATACTCTCCGTTTATATACAGTGACCTGTTTATATACAGTGGCATGCCGTGCCAGTGTTAGTGATGATATGGTTTTTCTCCTTGTTATTCCTTGATTGGGATATTGTTTTCTGCTTGCTTGTTTGTCTGGTGTTAATCCCCACTAAATCCCTCTCACTTGTGCTGATGATGTTACTTACTTGGTAATGAAGCATCTGCATGCACACAACCAAGCTCAGAGAGCACCAAGGACTCCATAATTCAATCCCAAGCTACATATATTATCCTCTCTTCCTTCTTTCTTTCTTTCTTTCTTTCTTTCTTTCTTTCTTTCTTTCTTTC